AGCTGAGTGGCCAGTCTGCATTTAGTTTAAATGTTGGGTTTATGATTTTTTATTTGACACGTGTCATTCATCCAATTGCCGCAATTCGTCCGAAGTATGCAAGCGAGTGAAACGTGAAGAGCTTTGGAATGATGAAGAAGAAACGAGTATGCTGGCCTGGCTGTGTAATGGCTTTTAAATGGAATAATGTTCACTTCAGCCTGACTCTAGTTCTTAATCCTTAACTGAATCTCGCTATGAATATGCTGGCTAATCTGCCTCTGGAGATGGAAAGCAAGTGATGAAACAACAGCCTTCTTGGATCTCAGCTTCTGGAGCAAGTCCTGGATATTCTGGTATATTTTTAGAATGTTACACTTTGATACCATAAGATCGGTCTATGATCTTGCAGTTCAAAGGTGAATATTAAGGTACTCATACTCTTTTAACAGCTTCTTGTTATGTAGCTCTCAAACCTTCAACAAACAACTCCAGGTTTGCAGAAGACGAACCCCCTTGCACAACAACCCTCTTGGCATCCCTGGCCAAGCTCACCCACATTTCGTCGTATCTCCTTCCCTTCCTCCCCATTCATCAGAACTCTGACAGCCTCCTCGATCACTGCCTTGTCAATAACTCCGTCTTGTCTCCTTCGCAGGCTCAATGCGAGCTTTTTCTCCACCAGAAACGCACAGTTCAGATTCTGCTCTGCACACTCTCCAGTGTCAAGTTCCACCCACAGTGAGTGATGAATCCACCCACAGCAGGATGCCTCAAAACATGATCAAATTCATGATCACTAACAACATTTACTCAAGGCTCACGAATGTCACAAACTCGCTTCTGATCAACATTGCCTCACGGTTTCTGAGTTCAAGGTTGGTGATCAAATTTGGTTATTTCAGCATAACATTCAGACTACTTGTCTATTTGGTAAAATTGACTATCAATGCCTTGGTCCCTTTTGCATCTCTGATTGGCATATCAGTTGTATCTTCCTTCAACCATGCATTTTCATCCTGTCTTCCACGTTTCTCTGCTTGAACCATACATCGCTAACAACATCCCAGGTTGAGTCATCCCACTAGCTCCCGAAGTCCAGATTGATGGTCACTCTACGAAGTTGTTGGGATCCTAGATTCCAAGATCCTTCAACATTGACTGTACTACTTTGTTGACTGGGTTGGCTAATCGTCAAGTGATTGGACATGGGAACCTCAGAAAATTTAACAAATGTTTCAGGTAAACTATCTGACTTCCACATGCGGTACCCACTCAAACCAGGACCAATGATTTGTGGAACTTGTGGGGGATAATGTCACGGAACCAGTATATACGGGCACATTCTGTCTAACACTCTGGTACATTCTTTAAAAAAATTTCTCTATAAGATTCCTTGAATATTCCAGCATACTCTAGAAGCTTTTCAAGCAAGACTCCAAGAAGCTTCCTCAGCCACAATACATCATTACAAAAAGAAAAATGTATAAGAGGCTAAGTGGCACCTTTTGGCTCCTCTCCAATGGCCACACTCACCTCTGTTCTTGTTGGTAGAGGCACTATTACTGGGGCTTGGGAGTGGATCTAGAGCCCACAGCTCCAAATCTGCTGTTGGCTCCTGTTCCCAGTCTAGTCAACACATGTATGTACCACGTGTTGTAGCACCTTCTTCTCTTGCCCCATGCAGCTTGGTCACCTCCCATTTGCCGAGAGCAAACATTAGCATGATTATTTGCTAACACATGGTTAAAGAAATAACCCCTTTATAGTTCCATCAGATGGCTGCGATTGGCTGGATCCGACGGCCCAGAAAGTTCGGCACTCCCTCCTTATTATGATAGATATTCCACATGCTTTGCATTTTTGTATCGTGAAGTCTCAAACCAAGATCATTTGGCAAATATTCTTTACGGATATGAGACCACATCTTGGTCCAACTTCTAACCCAAGATTAATCAAAATGCCAAAAGCAGTAGCACCTCATTCTAACAACAACAATTAGCAAAGCAATGAAAGGAAAATATTTTAATCTGAATTCATAAAACTGTTAATATTGGTTGTTTGGAAATACTCTAGTAAAGTAAGAAAATCTTATAGAACTATCATATATATAGAGATTAAAACATGGTCATGGTATTGCCATTAAAATAAAACCTACAAAATAATTGTTTTAAATTAACTTTTCTGTATTTAAAACTATTTAAAATTAAAGTTATACTGTATTATATGATTTTATTTATTTCAATAAATTTATTAAATTGACAATTTCACCCATTCTTAAAATTTAAAATAACATTTATGAACAAACACAATATTGTTTTCTATTCAATGATTTATCATTAGAAAATATTTAATAAATATTTTTTAAGGTCTAAAAAAGCCTTCTGTTATTTAATCTCCTAAAGTACAAAATTTTTAATTATTAAAAACTGAAAAACATATAATGAATTTCTAGCATAATCATACAATCTATAAAATAATTGTTGTATATCAGAATTTAATGTGAATTTTCTGTTGCTTCATGTCTAAGCTTTCACTTAATTATAACATCAATTATCCACCATAGTACATAAGCATTTATCCATATCTTAGTCTAATTAAAATATTTGGTATATTTCTAGTTTCCCTTATACTTTAGTCAATAGGATTGGATATATATATATATGAATATAATATTAAATGAGAAAGTATAGGATTCCTTAATCTAAAACACATGATAATTTTTACTACATTTTTTTAAAAAAAATCTATGAGCATATGCCAAAATAACAAAAGCAAGAGGAAGATGATAAGGTGGCTAGGTGGCATGAGGTAGGGGATTTTCTATAATCAAACAATTGTGGTTAGGATTTGAGTAAATTGTCAAGTTGTGGAGGATGACAGTATAGTGTTAGTGTCCAGGAATTTATGAGGTAGGCTAGGCATTATTCCTGTGTTTCAAATTGTTTACTAACATTTAGTAATGATTTTTTAGAGTGTGATAGGAAAGTTCATGACCTCTTTTTGTGTGTTTCTAAGTGTGAAATTGAGTTGATCCTACACAAGCACTTTGTTCTTGTAGTTCTTGCAGATGACTCTAGTAGCCCCAAAAGCTCTATGGGTTTCTGAGCAAAGAGTTTCAATAATATGGAAAAAAGGAATAATTTGAGAGAAAGAGTTTATGAACAAGAAATCTACCCTTTTTTCAAATCGGTTAAAGGACTTCGGAAAATTGGCATAGCTCATATTAAGATTCACAATTTATTTGAATAGAGAGATAATTTTTTCTTCCTTTCTAATAAAAGGCTATGGAGCTTTGTAAATGGTGACGATAGAGACGAAGATCCAGAGAGCTAGAGACAGTGGTGGCAGCGTCTTCGACACCAATGGAGCGGAGTCTTACGTCTATGGCCAGCGTATTGGCCTGTGCCGGGGCCTCTCGATGCTCCGAGAGATCCACTCGTGCATCGCCAACCGTGTCCCGCTCGAGCGAGATGCCTTCGTCTCCAACAAGCTCGTAGAATCCTATGGCAAGTTTGGCAGCGTCGGGGAGGCGCGCCGCGTCTTTGACGCCATCGCCGACAAGAACGTCTTTTCCTGGGCTCTCATGCTCTCCGCGTACGCGCGGGCTGGGCAACTTGAGAGTGCCAAGGAGATCTTCGATGGGATGCCCGAGAGGAACCAGGTCTCTTGGACTGCCATGCTCGCTGCATACACGAAGAACGGGCATTTGGACGAGGCTAAGCGGCACTTTGATCGGATGCCCGAGTGGAACCTTGTGTCGTGGACTGCGATGCTATCAGCATTTGCCCATACCGGGAATTTGGAAGGAGCCAAAGAGCTCTTCGATTCCATGCGTGAGAAGAATATGGTCACCTGGACTGCTATTCTTTCGGCTTATGCGGATGCTAGACACTTGAAAGAGGCGGAGAGTATCTTCCAATCCATGCCGGAGTGGGATCTAATCTCCTGCACTACGATGCTTTCTGCGCATGCCCAGAACGGGCAAGTTGACGAAGCTAAGGGACTGTTTGATCGGATCCCAGAGCTAGATCTCGTCTCCTGGACTGCGATGCTATCGGCTTACGCCGACAATGCCAAGATCAAAGAAGCCTACGAAGTGTTTGAAACGATGCAGGAGAGGAGCATTGTTTCCTGGAACGCTATGCTTGCAGCGTATGCCCAAAACGGGCATCTGGAGGAAGCAAGGGTTTTGTTTGATAGAATGCGGAGCCACGATCTCGTGTCCTGCACCGCTATGCTATCTGCCTACGGAGAGTTTGGGCATTTGGAGGAGGCCAAGAACATCTACGACGAGATGCCGGAGCACAACATGGTCACCTGGGGAGCGATGCTCGCAGCATATGCCCAGAACGGGCATCTGCGAGACGCGAAGAAGATGTTTGATGCGAGCCCGGAACAGGATATGATCTGCTGGAACACGATGGTGGCGTCGTTCGCACACACGGGGCACCACGCCGAAGCCATGGAAATGTTCCTGCGGATGAAGCTCAGCGAATCCCCCGATGCCGTCTCGTTTGTCTGCGTGCTCCTGGCTTGTATCCACTCGGGGAAGCTCTACGAAGGCTGGGCCAAGTTCTGCTCGATGGTCACGGACTTCGCCCTCAAGCCAACGCCGCAGCACTACTGCTGCGTCGTGGAGATGCTCGGGAGAGCTGGGCATTTGCGGCATGCCGAGGATTTGCTTGCGGGGATGCCGTATTTGCCGAGGGCGTCGGCGTGGAGGAGCTTGCTCGGGGCTTGCCGGACTGGAAGAGATGTGGAGGGTGGCAGCCGGGCAACCGGGCAAGTGATCCATTTGGATCCAAGGAGTGCTTCCTCGTACGTAGTTCTCTCGAGCATCGTGGCCGAAATATAACCATTGCTCCAAAACAAAGATCAAACTATTTCTTCGACCATTGCTCCAAAACAAAGATCAAACTTTTTCTTCGAGCATCGTGGCCGAAATATAGCCATTGCTCCAAAAGATAGATCAAACGCTTTCTAAGATTTCTCGAGATATAACCATTGCTCCAAAACAAAAATGAAACTTTTTCTTCGAGCATCGTGGCCGAAATAAAACCATAAGAAATATGACCATTTGCTCCTTAGTTGAGTGGACTGTAAATATAAAGATCAAAACTTTCAAAGTAAAGCTAAGAGCTTTCGTCAACCTTTATTGCTATTCATCGACGAAGAAACGCTTGTCACTTATTCCGGAGGAAAAAAGCGAAGATCTGGAGGCGTCTAGAGGGTGTTTTGGAGCGCCTTGATCTTGATGATCTGGTTAGCAGGGCTCAATCCCTTGGGACAAGCGTTCTCACAGTTGCGAATGGTGTGGCAGCGCCCAACTTTGTAGTCTCCGGCGATGGCTTCCAGCCTCTCCCGCGTGTACTCATCTCGGCTATCGGCAATCCATCTGAGAAAGAGATCCCAAGTTCTGTAAGAACACGAACACACAAAAGCTCTACGACAAAAACACACCCAACACATCTAGAACACGCAAAGATCAAAGGACAAAAGAGCCATCCATACCTGTGAGCGTGAAGCAATGCCGCAGGACCCAAGAACTTCTCGGGATTCCACCAGTAGCTCGGGCAGGAAGAGGTACAGCACGCGCACAGGATACACTCATACATCCCATCCAGCTTCAGCCTCTCCTTCTTGCTCTGCAAGTGCTCCTTCTGGCCAGCCTCTAGCATAGTCTTGGTCTTGAGCCACGGCTCCACGCTCTTGTACTGCTGGTAGAAGTTCGTGAGGTCCACCACCAGGTCCTTGATCACGTACATGTGTGGCAGCGGAAGCACCGACGTCTGGGCAGCGTCCTTCTCGATCTTGGTCAGGCAGGCCAGCGCATTCTTCCCATTGATGTTCATCGCGCAGGAGCCGCAAATCCCCTCCCGGCACGATCGCCGGAAGGTGAGACCCTGATCCACCTCGTTCTTGATCTTGATGAGAGCATCCAGCACCATGGGACCGCAATCGTTGAGGTCGATCTTGTAGACCTGCTGCTGGGGATTGCTGCTGCCATCGGGATTCCAGCGGTAGATCGAAAACTCCTTGATGTTGGAGGATTTCTCCTGGCCGAGGGTGGAGTCCGAGGCGGTGGCGCTCGCCCTGATACTTACAGCGCTGGCAGCGGGCCTGCCGAGGCGCTTGGCGATCGCTCCAGCTGCCGTGAACATCGCTGCCTCGATATCGCGAAGATCTACCAGGAAGAGAGAAAATGGGACACTCAACCCTGACCTAAAGCTCGGCTAGTTTTATCTGGCCGTCGGATTTACTTTGATCCAGCGGTCTAGGTGAGTTAGGGTTCTTGAATTCGCGCTTCTTTCTTTTGGCGCTCCCACGCATTTTGGGGGCAATGGGGATCAAGGTACTGCGTCCTATCTCGTTTGGCTAGCGCTATAGCTTTGGATGCGCAGGGATTGACGAAGCTCTTGGCGGACAACGCGCCGGGCGCCATGAAGGAGCAGAAGTTTGAGAGCTACTTTGGGCGGAAAATCGCTGTGGATGCGAGTATGAGTATATATCAGTTCTTGGTGAGTTCTAGATATCTTTGCGTTGCGTCTCACACAAGAAGCCGTGCATTCTAGATTGTTGTGGGACGAACTGGCACTGAAATGCTCACGAATGAGGCTGGAGAAATTACAAGGTTTGTTTGAAAGGAAGAACAAATTCCTTTTTTTTCTTTCCTTGATACTTAGTTCTTTCGCTGACTCCAACGCAGTCATTTGCAGGGAATGTTTACTCGGACAGTTCGCTTGCTGGAGTCCGGGATGAAGCCTGTGTAAGAACATCGAGTTTGTGGCGATTTGTCTTACTGTATTGTTGTTTGTTTCTTACGAGTGGTCATTCACGTCAGGTATGTCTTTGATGGAAAACCTCCGGAGCTGAAGAAAGCTGAGCTTGTGAAAAGGTAGCTCTACTCTCATCTCGATAGCCAGTACAGTTTTTCTTCAAACTTTTGTTTATTTAATCAGAGGTGCGAGGCGTGAAGAGGCCACTGAAGGGCTTACGGAGGCGATCGAGGTGGCGTTACTGATATACTCGTGTAGTGTTTTTCTTTCTGATTATAGTCCTTGTCCTGCAGAAAGGTGAAGTTGCGGACATAGAGAAGTATAGCAAGAGAACAGTAAAGGTACGCCTCACTTCCATTTGATTCTTTCATTCGATCAACATGGTTCCTGTGAAGGTCACAAAGCAACACAATGAAGACTGTCAAAAGTTGCTACGGCTCATGGGAATTCCGGTCATCGAGGTACTCTTTTTTCTTTGGTGGATCTTTGCATCAGCAAAGATTTTCACTGCTTGTACTTTGTAACAGGCTCCCTGCGAGGCAGAAGCTGAATGTGCGGCCTTGTGCAAAGCAGACAAGGTAGTTCGATCTCTCTATCTCTCCAGTTTCGATCTTTCTCGTCTTTGAATCTACTGCGGTTTTGTTCCGCAGGTTTATGCCGTGGCTTCTGAAGACATGGATTCCCTTACCTTTGGAAGTCCGAGATTCTTACGGCACCTCATGGAGCCAGCTTCTCGTAAAATACCAGTTATGGAGTTCCAGATATCTACGGTGCGTGCGTTTAAGCTTTTTTTTGTTCTCACAATGAGTGTTGATTCTTGGCTATCTAGGCTCTTCAAGAGCTAAACCTTTCCATGGATCAGTTTATTGATCTTTGCATTCTTTGCGGGTGTGACTACTGCGACACGATTCGCGGTAAGTTTCCTTGCTTATCGTTAAAACAGTGGTTACCTGGTTTGTACCTTGTTAGGAATTGGGCCACAGACAGCTTTGAAACTTATTAGACAGCACAGTACTTTAGAAGCAGTATTGGAGAACTTGAACAAGGACAGGTGCGTTTTTCCATACGATATCTCTCGCTTTGACTTGCAATATCAAACCAGATACCAAATTCCAGAATCTTGGCCTTACCAAGAAGCCCGCCGGCTCTTTAAAGAGCCCATCGTGCTGCCAGATGAAGAGCTTCCGGAGCTCAAATGGAATGCACCCGATGAGGAGGTAAATAAATCCAAGTTTTCATTTATCTTCTTGCTAATCTCCTGCTGCAGGGATTGAAAAAGTTTCTGGTAGAAGAGAATGGATTCAATATCGATCGCGTGACAAAGGTAAAGCTGCGGCACCTCTTTGGGTATAGAAAACTAAAAGCGCAGGCTCCGTTCCCCAGGCAATCGAGAGGATCAAGAGCGCCAAGAATAAGTCCTCCCAGGGAAGGTCTGTCGTAGCTGTTTTAATTGTGCTTCGGATTTCTCAGGAGTTTTGGAGTGGAAATCTGTGCAGGATGGAGTCATTTTTCAAGCCCGTTGCGTCGTCCTCGCCAGCAGCCGCTGCTACAAAGAGAAAGGTGAGTGGAGTGATTGTGGCGTGGCGTGCGCAAGTTAAAAGCTCCGTATTGTAACTCATGAAACCTCATCTATAGGAAACACCCGAGACGACGAAAGGGAGCTCTGGGAAGAAATCAAAAGCCACGACCAAGGGCAGGAAGAAATGATCACTTATAGCTCCATTCCATGGAAGAAATGACCACTCAGTTCCAGCACTAGAACAGCGAGGCAAGAACAAAGTTTCCATCGCTAGAACAGAGGGAGGCGAGAAAAGGAAATGACCAATTAATGATCCATTGCTAGAAATTGATACAATCCCATCCAATTAACAAGGAATCATCCAAGAACTCTGCTTTCCATCAAAGCAAAGTTTCCATCACTAGAGCTGCGAGGCAAAAACAAATTTTGCATTGCTAGAACAGGGAGGCAAGAGAAGGAAATGACCACTGACTGATCCATTGCTAGAAACTGATTCAATCCAATCGAATTGACAATGAATTCCAATCCTCTGTTTTTAGGGTTCTTCCAAGAAAGTCCTTTTGCCTTTTAGGGTTCTTGAGTTATTGGCGTAATGAATTTTATCCACAAGAAATCATCCAATCCAAAATCCAGTAACAATCGATCGAGCGATCGATCGAGCGAATCGATCAGTCCCAATCCCCGTCTAGATCGTCGCACTGGAAGCCGGGGCGGCTGGGCTCCTTGCCGGTACTCGCCGGGCACGACGATTGCGCGGGCGGTTCCAAGCAATTGTACTGGATGCAAAACACCGAGCTCGCGGGCAAGAGCTGGGGCATCACCTCCATCGCCTGGATTGCCGAGAGGAAATTGTGCTGGAGGTAGAGGTTCTCCACGTCGCCGGCGGCCAATCCCTGGATGAGCTCCCGTGGGACTCCACCCGAGAGCTTGTTGTTGTTGAGGAGCAAGCTCTTGACGGTGGCCAGGAATGGCGATAGCGATCCAGTGAGCGCATTGTGGCTGAGATCCAGGCGCGTTATCCTCACGGGGCCCTGGGGATCCACGCTCCCGCCCAGGAGATTGCGCTGGAGGAGGAGCTCCGCGAGGTCGGGCAGCGTGAGCAGCGAGCTCGGGATGCCGCCCGAGAGGCGATTGGAGCTGAGGTCCAGGAAGGCGATCTGGCCCAGCAGCGCCGTGGAGGCGATGGATCCCTCGAGCGCGTTCCAGGAGAGATCGAGGTGGGCGAGAGTGGCGGCGGGCAGCGCCGAGGGTAGGGTTCCAGAGATCCGGTTGCGGTCGGCGCTCAATCGCTGGAGCGGCGCGGCGATGGCGCCCGGGAGGGAGCCCGAGAGATCGTTGGAGGAGAGGATGAGCGTGGCCAGCGATGGCAGCGCGAAGATGGAGGCCGGGATGGATCCGGTGAGCTTGTTGTTGCTGAGATCCAGCCCCTGGAGCGATGCCAGGCTCTTGAAGCTCTCTGGGATGGATCCGGAGAGGCCGTTCTTGGAGATCCCTAGGAATTCCAGGCGAGAGAGGGCGCCAATCTGGGGTGGGATGGAACCACGGACGCTGCCCGGGACGAGCGTGAGGATCCGGAGGTATGGGAGGCTGCCCAGCGCCGGGCTGAGGTGGCCGGAGAGACCTGGAGAGCCCGCGAAGCCACTGCCCATGCTGAGCATCACGACGTGCTGAGTGGAATCGCCAGCGTGATCCCCGGAAGAACACACGACCCCGCGAAACGAGGAGCAAGGATCTAGCGTGAAATCCCAGGTCGCGAAGAATGTGGAGCCCGGGAGATCGTCCAGGGCGTTTCGGATCACGCGCAGCGCCGCGTACTCGGTGGTGTCGATCTGGGCGCTCGCGATTGGGAGAAGCTCCGGGAGGAGGAGAAATTGGAGGAAGAGAAGAGCTAGTGGAAGAACTTTGGTAACCCACATTGCTTGATCTATCGCGAGAGGAGATAAGCTGCGAGAAAGATCTTCTTCGGATTCAATCCTTTCTCCTTGGATTTCGATCGAGCTGAGAGATTTCTTTCTCCTTCCTTCTCGGATTGCTATCCTCCTTGCTCCGCTATGAGAAATTCGCGAGAATTCTTCCTTCTTTCTCTTGGAACTCTCGGTGGAGATTGGAGATTCGTGCGCGGCTTACAGTGCTCTGGTCATAGTCGATCGATCTGGAAAGAAAACAACAAGGAGCGCTCCACCTCAATCCAGGACGAGTCGAATTGTAGCGTAGCAAGGATGGGACAAAACCTAGAGGTGGCGAGCAATGATCCACTGCCAAATTCCTCTCCTCCTGCGCGACGATTCCCTCTCACTCTCACATTCTCGCAAGCTTCCATGCTTTGCTCCTCTTTCCCGTGACCCAATTGGAGCTCTAGAACTCTCTATGCGAAGAGGGAGAAGGAGAGCTTTCATTGCGAGGCAGGAGAGAAAAGGAAGCTCTCTTTTTGCAAAGGGGGAGAGCTCTCCATCTCTCCAGCGCTACAAATCGACACGATAGTAGAAGCTTGGCTTGCAATGCAAGTCCCCACCCCTCTGGCATTTCAGCTCTTCCAGGCTTTCCCTTACAAACAACGACCAGGTTTTAAAAGCCAAAGCGTGCGCTTCACAGATCAATCCTTGTTCTTTCTCGCTTTAAGTGTTGGAAAAAAACAAAAGGAAAACATGAAAAAGAAAAATGTATCAAAATCAGTGTGAGAAAAATTCTCGTTTCATTCCTTCTTAAATGAGGTGATGTTTGCGTCCTATCCGCCACCACCACCACCACCACCACCACCACCGCGCCACCACTCCACCACCACCTTTCTCGTTCTCTAACTATAATTTTCTCAGTCCGTATATCGCACCGTCTTTACATTCATCGCCATCAATACTCCAAAACTGTACAAATACTGTACGCTTACCGATGAAATATCAGGTCGCTCTCAAAAGGTCTTCCAAAACCATAGCTTGATCACAGCTT